AGACAGCAGATTTGTGACTCTAGTTTTTTTTTTTTCTTGCTGAATAGCAGTGCTTAGTGCATGGGAAATGGTATCTCAAGCTAGGTTAGTTTGGAGAAATGATGTGTCACCTGTATTTTGAATCCTTGAAAATGGCAAAGTTTTGCCCTTGTATTTTCCATTTAATTTTCTTTGAGGGGACTTCTCTGTTCTCTAGTCTTGTTTTTCATTTTACTTTTGCTAAATATAAACAAAGATGGAAGGCATGAACACTACCAATCTCAAACTAATACTAATGATACTATCTATCATTAATGACAAGCTTTAACGTCATACATACAACTGCTATATCATGTTTAAGACTACAAGTTTCAGAAGTTGGTATAACAATACAAGTGTTTGTGGTATGTTTAAGAACACAAATTTTAAAAGTTTTTCATTCTTTTTTAGTAAATGTGATTATGACTGGAGTAAAAGTTGCTGAATTTTACTAGTGGATTAAAATGTGTTTCAAAACTCAAATGGGCAACAAAAATGACAATTAACGTAGCATATTGTAAATTTGATTTTATGCGAGAGAAAAAACATAAAGTGACACTTGACTTTGTCTCGAATTTTCAAGAAGACACCTTAACTATGCGACCGTCCTATTACCTCATTAAACAATCTTGAACTGATATTATTATATCATTTTTTGTCCACCTCACATAGAGAGTGTGTGCACTCTCTCAAAGAGAATGGACAACCTAAAATAACTAATATAATTTTATTTTTACAAGTATTTTATTATAAAATGTATTTTCTTATTTTTCTTATTATTTTAATTTTTTTTCCTTTTTTATTTTTCTCTCTTTTTCTTCTTCAAAAATTCATTGTCGTCTCCATTGAAGCTTCTCATTTTCAATGTCACAATTTTTACCACAACTTGACCTTCTCTTTTTTTTTTTACTACTATTAGTTTTATTCTCTTTAATTTTAAAACTTTATCTTCATATTTTCTTACATTTCGAACAATTTGATAAACCCATTAGATTTCAAGATGATTAGGAAGTATCATATAGTTTTTTTTTATCCGATTTCAATTAAGTTCTTTCAATTTTTGGGGAATTCATTGATTCTATTAAAATTATAATTTCTAATTTTGAAGTTATATGAAAAGGAGTAATTGATGATATCTTCAAAATTTTAAATTTTCTTTGAAAAATAATATGAATTTTTTTAAATAAAAAAATCACTGAAATAATTAATTTGACTGGAGAAGAAGAAGAAAAAGAAAAGAAAAAAATGGGAGAGATGTTCAACTTGACGCGGGGTGAGGTGGGAGGTGAAGAAAAAGAAAGAAAATGAAGGGATGAATCACTTCAAAGTGGGGGTGAATGATGAAGTAGAATTTAAGATGAAATCAAAATTAAAATAAGTCAAAAAGTAAGAAAGAGAAATAAAGAAAAAAATATATTTTTAATTAAATTAACACGTGTCATGTAATGATTGGTGTGTCAACACACTTACTTCTTAAGATTTGAGGCTGATCGAAAAATGATATAATAATATATGTTCAAAATTGTTTAGTGAGATTATACGACGATTGTAAAGTTAATGTGTCTTTTTTAAAATTGGAAATAATTTCGATGATGACTTTATGTCTTTTCTCTTTATGCAAGTATAAATATGGTAACCAACCACATCATTACTAATGTTGGATTTTATGAAAGCAAACTAGCCTCACTTGTTGTTACCATTAAATTTGAATTCGTGCCAGAATATTTTGGAATTTATACCTAGCCTTGAACTCGAGATTTCTAGAGCTAGGTTATATTTTGTATTAGCCAATTGATCAAATAGTCTCCAATGTGCCAAGGCTTGAGATGTTGAAGCTGTTTCTTGCTCCAGTAAAGCTCAGACATTTTTTCAAATTCTGCAAATCAGTTTTTAAGCTTCAAACTAAACTTCACTTTATCAATCAACCCATAAAGCATTATTCTTTACTTCCCAGAGTAGACTACACATGTAACCAAGATGTTTCCAGGTCAAATAGGATTATTTCCAAGCTAAGCAAAGAGGGTCAGGTTGATGAAGCAAGGAAGCTGTTTGATAAAATGTCTGAACCAGATGTGGTGTCATGGACAGCGATGATTTCGGGTTATATAAGATGTGGGAAGATTGATAAAGCAAGGGAATTGTTTGACAGGACTGATGCAAAGAGAGATGTTGTAACTTGGACAGCTATGCTTGCTGCCTATGCGAGGACGAATCGGATTCTTGAGGCTGAGATGCTTTTCAATGAAATGCCTGAGAAGAATGTGGTTTCATGGAATAGTTTAATTGATGGGTATGCAAGAAATGGTAGAATTGATAAGGGTTTGGAATTGTTCTGGAAGATGCGGGAGAGGAATGTGGTTTCTTGGAACATGGTTATAGCAGGATTGGCTCGGAATGGGCGAATCAACGAGGCAAGAGTGCTTTTTGATCAGATGCCTGAGAAGAATGTGGTGTCTTGGACTACAATGATAGCAGGCTTGTCAAGAAATGGGAGAGTCGACGAGGCTAGAACACTTTTCGATAGGACTCCTGAACGCAATGTGGTATCTTGGAATGCAATGATTACTGGGTATACACAAAACTCGAAACTTGACGAAGCATTTGAACTGTTTGAGATGATGCCAGAAAAGATCGTGTCTTCGTGGAATACAATGATCATGGGATTCATTCAAAATGGGGAACTCGGCAGAGCTAGAATATTGTTTGATAAAATGAGGCAGAGAGACGTGGTTTCTTGGTCAACAATGATTAATGGCTACATGCAAGAGGGGAGAAGTGAAGAAGCGCTAAGAAATTTCTGTGACATGCAAATGGATGTTTGGGTGAAACCAAATGAAGGAACTTTTGTGAGTGTTTTGGGTGCTTGCAGTGACTTAGCCGGTCTTAGTGAGGGAATACAAATTCACCAAGTAATTAACAAAACAATATATCAGAAGAATGAAGTAGTCATATCAGCACTTATAAACATGTATTCAAAATGTGGAGATGTAGCAACTGCAAGGAAAATATTTGATGATGGCTTGAGAGGCCAGAGAGATCTGATCTCTTGGAATGTTATGATTGCAGCATATACTCACCATGGTTTTGGAAGAGATGCAATCAATCTCTTCAAAGAAATGCTGCAACTGGGGTTCAAACCAAATGATGTGACTTACGTGGGATTGCTTGCTGCCTGCAGCCACTCAGGTTTGGTGGAGGAAGGGTTAAAGTACTTCGATGAGCTTTGTAGAGACGATTCCATAAAATTGAGAGAGGACCATTATACATGCCTTGTAGATCTCTGCGGTCGAGCTGGAAGACTCAAAGAGGCCTTGGATGTTATTGAACGGCTTCCAAGAACAGAATCAGCGTTCATTTGGGGAGCTCTTCTTTCGGGTTGTAATCTTCATGGAGATTCAGAAACAGGAAAATTGGCTGCAATTAAACTATTAGGGATCGAAGCTAAAAGTCCGGGAACCTATTTGTCGTTGTCAAAATTGTGTGCTTCAAAAGGAAAGTGGAAAGAAGCTGCAAAGCTGAGGACACAAATGAAGGACAGAGGATTGAAGAAGCAACCAGGTTGTAGCTGGATAGCTGTTGAGAACAGAGTTCATGTATTTTTAGTTGGTGATACATCTCATTATGAAACTGAGGTTATTCACTCATTACTTGGAAACCTTCATATGAAAATGAAAAGGACTGGCTGTCCACCAGTAGATGATTCTTCAGAGGTAGAAAATTGTCCTATTATCTACTAAGTTTTTGTTCCCTCCTCTTCTTTTCCTGTTCAAGTTATGAATATCACTACTAGTGTTCTTCTCCTAATACTGTCGTTTATAAATGTTATTTTGATTATATGATTCCCTATACGGTATGCTGGTACCCCATTTTTTTGTTCTTACAAGGTAAGCTCATGCCCGGGCTCACTCGTGAAAAGGTTCTAGCGGTAAGATAAGGCCTTTTTCTGAGATAACCTCTCTTGAGTTTAATTATACCTACTAGTAAGCACAGTAAACCCTCCTTCATTCAAGGAACCAAGGTCAAATCTCAAGTTAATTCGTTTTAGATTTGCTCTACTTGATGACATTCAAATAACTACTTGTTGGTGTTTGGTTTTTGGCAATATAATATGTATCTTCCCTCCGAGGAGACGACAAATTAAGAATTAGTGATGATGGAGACACTTTGCTTGCTTAAAATTTCTCTTCATCTTAAGTCAATTATATACTGGCAAATCTTTCAACTTTGTAATCAGTCGCCTCTCATGCATTAATATGGATTTTTTTTTCTCCACATAGATTAGAGTAAATCAATAAAAGAAATATATATTTGTTGAAGTTTGCTTTAAGTTACTGCAGTAGTTTTTAGCAAAATAAGTTGTTTAGTTTAAGATGAATTTGAATTTTGAATTCTAGTTAGGTTGTTAGAATTGTTGAGATATTTGGTTTGTTTTAAATTTCAAATTATGCAGATTATGTATTTTATGTTGGTTATTTAAAGCCCTCAATGCTTAAAAAGAATATTGAAAACCATTTCAATCCATTAAGAGATTTTTCAAACAATACTTTTTGTTGCCCCATTTTTAAAAAACACCAACAATATTTAGTTTCAACTTGCATTAATATTTCATCTATCATTATCTGTGTGATAATTATTTTACTAGCTTGGACTTTGGAACACATGCTTTTGTACCTCCTTTGGATAAGCCAAAACTTATTTATTAATATTCACTAAAAAAAGAAAATAAAACATTAGTGGATGAGTTGGATTTTGCAATAGGGATGCTTTATTTGACCCAATTCTTGAACTATTCAGCAGTGTTACCAAGTTGTCATACAAAGTCATTTTTAAATCCAAGTTGTAGAAGTCATGTTATACTAAAAATGCTATTATAAACTATAAAGTTGGCTGCCCCTTCAAGTTAGCATAATTATTAGTGAGAATACCTATTTAAAAATTGGCATAACTTGTCTATAAATTTGGATACATAGTAGCTAGTTTTCTGAAGCAAATAAGAAAAGAGAAGATCATTCAGAGATGGCATCAAACTCCACCTCAGTTTCTCTCCTTACTCCTTACAAAATGGGGAGTTTTGAGCTCTCTCATAGGTACTGTTTAGTTTTTGTTTTATAACCATATGGTATTCGGAACCCACTAGCTAGACTAATTTAGTATTGGTGCCATGTGGGGGCCATTAAAGGGGGAAGGATTAGGATCTCCCTCAAACCTGAGACCTCTAGTTAATGGTGAAGGGATTCCATCCATCTCACCACATTCTGTGGTGGTAATTGTGTGAATTTCAGTTTACATACAAATACTTCTTGGTTTGTTGTGCACCTTTTCCTTTTGCATGATTGAGAAACTGAAGCATCTATTGTATTATGTTGTGATATGCAGAGTAGTGATGCCACCAATGACAAGGAAAAGATCATACAATAATACTCCACAGTCACATGCTATTGAATATTATGCTCAAAGAACCACTAAGGGGGGCTTTCTCATTTCTGAATCAACTAGTGCTTCGGACATCTCCAATGGGTAAAGAGTTTTAATTTCTGTGTATATGCTTTTCTGTTTATGAAAAACTTATATCTTAAATATTTTTATTACTGATGCCGTTTGTAGAAATTTGTAAGCCACTAAATATCATGCACAATATACAGTGTTAGAGAACTCCAAATTCGTGAATTTTGAAATAGAATGTGTTCAGACGAAAAGATGTACGTACCTTATAATTCATAAAGCTGATCCTAACTATGTACATTGAGATTGAGATTTTAATTATTGTTGTATTTGAAGGTCCCCAAATATGCCTGGAATTTGGACTGAAGATCAAGCAGAGGCATGGAAGCCTATTGTTGACTCTGTTCATGGCAAAGGTGGTGTCTTTTTTTGTCAGCTTTGGCATCCAGGGCGACTATCTGATTCAAGTCTCAACAATTTCCTTATAGCTTGGAATGCAGGTAATAAATTCATTAAATTAACTTGGATTTGATATATTGCTAGCTAGACTCTCATGTTTGCTGAGGGTAATTTGGCCTAGCCTCTTTATATGGACTTAGGCAATCCTGGTCTCTCGAGCTAGCTAGCTTATTGTTCTGCCTTTCTGAGCTAATGGTGGACAATTTTCTTTTCTTGAGCTTATTTTTGCGATTGAGTTATGTTCAAGATCCATTATGTTACGAATGGAATAACAATAATGAATGCTCTTGTATTTTGTTCTTTACGATGTGTAGTACCTGACGATGGTGAGTACTTCAGACCAACACCAAAGTAACTAAAAGCTAATGAACTCCTTCTCATTGTCAACGATTTTAGAAATGCCGCCCACAATGCCATTGAAGCTGGTAACTTATCCATTATTTTAACACAACTTTAGGACATTGCACAACTTTTACTTGATAAATGGTCACTTGATTAACATGTTAGCATTCCTAATTGAAGGATTTGATGGAGTAGAGATCAATGCTGCAAATAGCTACATAATCGATCAATTCTTGAACGATCAAGTCAACGATAGGACCGATGCATATGATGGAAACATTGAGAACCGTTGTAGACTTGCTCTCGAAATTATAGGAGCAGTTGTGGAAGAAATCGGACCAGACAGAGTTGGCGTAAAACTATCTCTGTTTTCCAAAGTGTTCGGGAGAAAAGACTCGAACCTAGAAGCTCTGTTGACTTATTTGGCTAGTGAACTCACTAAACTTGGAGTTTTATATCTACATGTGTTTGAGCCAAGGGACGAACCTCGTTGCCTAAAATCAATTAGGAATGCATTTGAAGGGACACTTATTGCTTCAGGTGGATATTATAAAACTGAGGGAGATGAAGCAATTACTGAAAGTTGTGCTGATTTGGTGTCATTTGGACGTTTGTTTTTGGCAAATCCTGATTTGCCTAAACGTTTCGAAGTGAATGCACCATTAAACAAGCATGATAGGAGCACTTTCTATAGGACTGATCCAGTTCTGGGCTACACTGATTATCCATCTCTTGAAATTGCTTGTTAGGTTATTATATCTTGGTGAAAAATTAAAGAGCTTGCTTCTAGTTGATAAAGGGGCTGTTGTTTTCTCAATAATAGGAAACTTACTTTGTATGATGTATGCAAGAGGTTGTGTACTTTTATCCTAGGTTGCTTCCTTGGACCCTTTAAAAATGTTCCTTAAAAAATAGACACGAGTTCGACAACATTTTTGAAGAGTGCAAATAACATAACTTTTATCTTGTAGTTTGGTAAGATAAAATGATGATTTACTAGTAAACTTCCAGGATGTGGGAGTGTGTCAAATTATGAAAGTTATATGAGCCAGATTATACCCACTCATATCTGCCTATATTCTTAGGGAAGCAA